TCCGAAATGGTGGAGCAGGATCGTTTGTCCATAGCCAGCTCCATAGCATCAAGCGTTATATTTCCTGCAAGACTTTGACTTGTTACGAAAATTAGAATGAACAAAAACTATGAACACTCATCTACCTCGATTGATATACATGTTTTGGGAATATTGTGAATAGAAGAGTCATTCAAGTTTATTCATAAAAAATTATGTTTTTTTCAACATTTCTTTACAAAAACTAGCCACATCCCAGTTTATCTGAAACTTAATTGAAGTCACTTATTCGGCTGGAATGAAAGATTGAAGCCACAGTATATAAATTGACGAAAACATTAGGTTGCTTTAGGCAGATCACACACAAGCAAATCCCCGTACAAATTTCCCATCTTTTGTTCCGATACGGAGTATCACGCATACACTCTTAACAGGAGTAAAAATCAGACTTTTGTACGGGGATTCGCTTGTGTGTATGTTGGTTGTAGAGTGTTTTGAGTTCAACATTAGACCATAATTTGAAACGTAAGGTAAACAAATGAGACTGGCTGAATAAAGTTTGAACTTTTTAAATCACAAGCTCAATAGATGGCTATATCACATATCAGTGTGTTTATACAATATAAAAACTTGAAAATCACAGATAGGTTTCATTATTTTAATACATTTGGTCCTATATATCATATCCCTATAAGAAACCCCGTGTGAAAAAATAGTATCAGTCAGGGAACAAATTGTCAGTTCTTTGAGTTAAAATTGTGTGGTTTACAATTTATCTTTCAGCATTGTCATTTTCATAATACATTTTCAAACAATATCTGTTTTTTTTTCTTTCAAAAAAGCTTCCAAAATTGAATCTACGTTGTTAAACACTTCGTTTTAGCCTCGACACATTAAACATGCTAAATACAATTGATAATGTCAGTAAGAATAGTAAAATATAACAGAATTATACAAATTAAACATATTAAAAAAAATTAAACATGCTACAAATTAAAAATGAGTACGATGGATACGCGTTATTTAGTAAAATTTTATATATAAAATGATTAGGCCCCTAGATCAATCTTGATCTTGTCTGGTTGAAGAATTCTTTGCATTCGCGAAGGAATCGCAAAATTACTTCGGAAGTCTTGTGATTTGAGCACAATGTGTACAGCAGTCGATATCCGTTTTGCAGCAAACGCTGTTGATTGAATGATTGTCAATGGAATACCTTCCATTTATCTGTCAAATGTCATTGACTTTCCAGCTGTATGTAAATAAAAATACGTCAACAGATATCAACATTTGGATGATTTTCCTAATCGATATTTAAATGAAATTTGTTCTATCTTTTCGAAACATTCAATAGAATTTTCAATGGAAGATTATTGATTTTGAACTAGTAAAAAGTGAAAAGTTCACTTGTATCCATTGTTTATTATGCATAATATCCATCATTCCAAATCATCGTAAATAAAATGTCCATTTTCTTTGTCAAACTGTATAAAGAAAGCGTAAATAATGTTCATATAATAGGAAATCTAGTGAAATTGATTGAAATTCAAATTGAGTTCAATTTTAGGAAAATGGATGAAAGGAAACAACGTGTGAAGCAAGCGCGTGCTTCAGTACGGCTTAGTACCCAAGGAGAGAATCGTGCAAGGCGAGAAAGAGTAACGCTGGAGAACTTGTTTTATGAAAGTTTCAACGAAGAGCTACCGTATCCACTAACTGAGATTCCATTACACCGACATGAAGATTATCACATACCATTTAAAACGGCTAAATGGCAAGAATGGGTATGCAAATCTCATATTTTTTACATCTAAGTAGAATATAACTTGAATTGTTTTCTATCTCTTTAAGTGGGGAGAAGGATTTTACAGAAGAGATGGGAATGATACACCGAGAAGTCTGGAGCCAGAAGTGACTGCGCTCCAAGAGCTATTCGCTGGAGTTAAGCGTAGAAATCAGGAGAATAATCTTCAGTGGCGTAAAGATCTTACGGAATATTTACTGGTAGTAGAAACAGCGTGTTCAAAACCGCCTGAATTGTCAGACGAATACATAAACTTTCCTGGAACATTTGACATACCGTTCAAAAGCGATGAATATAAATACTGGGTATGATTTACATTTTAATTCGATAAATTCACGTTTTATTAAGTCGAGTTTGATTCATTTTAGTGGGATCGGTGTATCTATGATGAAAATAATATACCTACTTATATGTATGAAAATTAGAATGAACAAAAACTATGAACACTCATCTACCTCGATTGATATACATGTTTTGGGAATATTGTGAATAAAAAAGTCATTCAAGTTTATTCATAAGAAAATTATGTTTTTTTTTCAACATTTCCTTACATAGCAGTTATTCGAATATTACAGTTTGGTCGACAATTACAAACAACATTGATATTCATTTCACAATTTTTTTTCACTTGTTCAACTCGTTGAAATGCCGAAACAAATGTATACGCACACACAGCACCATCTCGTTCTGTCAAACGGTCGCTGTCAATGGAATGCTTTCCATTCAACTGCCAAATGTCATTGGCTTTCCAGCGTATTGCTCCATGTAAATAAACATAAAAATAATACGTCGACAAGTCTCACTTCGACGATTATTATAGACGAATTCCAATATTTAAATCAAACTTGTTTTGTCTGTTTAAAAAAAAAACACTCAAATAAAATTCTCAGTGAATGATTATTGATTTTGAAATTAATCATTGTATTCACTCGAAATGTCTTCTGACGAGCAGAAGAAGCAATTGCTGGCGCAAAAATTCTTTCGAAGTTTGAAAAGTAAGCAAAAATCCCCCAAGACCGAGCATACAGCTGTTTCTCCGAAAAAGTCAAAAATGTCTACAGCCAAAACAGACGGACAAAGCCAAGAAAGTGAAGTAGATTTAACAAAGTAAGTGTTTGGCAAAATGGATCGGTTTTTCACCATTTTCAAATGGTATTTACCTCCAATTTTTACCAATTTTAGTCGAGCCATTGAAGAGATTCAACGTGAAACTCAGCGTGCATCGAGATTGGCCGAAGAAATTGGTCCGAGTGGTTGGCGTATGAAAACACAACGAACAAACAAACGGTTTTTGGCCAATACAATGCGATCTGTGCTGAGTCACAATGAACGAACTAGTGTCAAGTATACAAAAGAGTCGAAGCGAAAATTTGAAGAACTTTCGAAACGGCCACCGAAATTCGGAACACGACTACATTCATTCCAGTCATCGGACGAAAGAATGAACAAAGAAAAGAATTCTACAGATTCGTCAACGAGATGATCCACAATTTTCGCTCGAACCAACTGTCATAGTTTGGACATTTCTCTAAAGCAACTTTGCCTTTTTTTCTAATTTTAAGTTCATTTTACACAGAAAAAAAATCTTTAAAAAAATGCATAAACGGTGCAGAAAACAAAGAATTAAAAATTAAAAAAAAAACACGTTAAAAGTTTTGTACATGGAAATGTTTTGTTTATCGTTTGGTCCATTCCAGAATGTTGTTAACAACGGCAATACTACATGTGAGAGTTCAAGTCGGGTTGTCATAGTGCATGTTTATTTGTCTACTGGTATTGCTGTTGTTATTGACATTTGCACACAGAAGGTTTCATTGTTTGTGTTGTGTGGTAGCCAAAAAAGCGTGTTACTTGTTGAATACTCGATACTTTTGCTCGACAAATGTGTGATAAATACACACGATTTTACTCAATGCTCAAATTTGTTAGTCTAATTATTGTGGTAAAAAAGATGCTGTTCATTTGAATGTTGTTTAGTTGCAAGTAAATCAGTCAAAATGGAGGTGAACACCGAAACAGACGCAACGCTTAAAGAGCGGGTCAATGATATTCTCGATAGCTTGAATGCGTTACCCGATGGCGACGATATTGACGTGAACAAATGTGATATTTTATTTACAATCATATCAATTGCCAGCCGCGTTATGAGCATCATTTCCACTTTGCTGTTGGCATTACATTATTTCCATGGTGACAAAGTTCATCACTTCACATGGACCATGTGCTGTTTCATCATTCCAATGTTTGTCACGATGTTTCTTCAATTGTCGATGTGAGTCAATTAGATCGGATAGATTTTCGAACTTTTCTTTGATTGCCAATGTGTTCCTCTTTTGAATTCCTTTCTTTAGCTATTCTGAGGATCGAAGAGAAGGAGCAATTCGGAAATTGAATATTTTCGAAATCTTTTGGTCGGTCATCATTTTTCCAATCGTATTTCGGTAAGCATATCTGCTACATTCAACAGAGAAGACCAACTAATCAGCAATCTTTAATATCAATCAGGTACTGGAAAACACTGATTTACACGCTGAAATGTAAGCGAGCCGAATTTCGAAATGATCGAGAAGAGCAGAAGAAGTGGTATGCCCGGCTAGTCAATGAAGACAGTGATGTGGCTCTTGTGAGAATATTCGAATGTTTCTTAGAGGCAGCTCCGCAGAAAATACTCCAAATTTCGATTATTTTGTCTGGAGAAGAGAAAATCAGCAGTAAGTATTAATAGCATAATTTGGACCGTCGTTTGAATACATCTAAAATTTAATGCAAATGTTTGAATTTTTAGCTCCACAAATGTTAAGCTTGTGCAGTTCAATGTTTAGCATGGCTTGGTGTATCGCTTCATATCATCGCTGTATTCGACTATCTCAATTGGATAAAATTAACATTTCATGGATTGGAAGCATTGTGCAGTCGAGTTGGCATTTAACCATTACTGGTAAAATTCACTGAATCATATTTGCATTCCATTTAATTACTGATTTCATTTCCGTCTTTCTTATCTCCGATTCTAGTATCTCGAATTTTATCCATAGCGATAGTAGCGAGTTTGTTTCCAAAGCTGTACGTATACCCAAAATATCTCAATACTACGGTTTTTGTGATATTTAAACCGAATTTAATCACTATGAAATTATATAATTTAAATTTTCTTTTTACAGGACATTGCTGTGTTTCTCAATTCATGCAATCCTAATGGGACTATGGGTATTCATTTTCGATCGGTCACCATTCTGTTCGAATTCATTGATTCACAGTTTGTTTTTCTCGCTCATTTTGGGCTTTGTGTTCATTTTCAATTATATTCTGCCAAAAGCACGACCGACTCGCTATCGTTACGCCACATTCTATTCGATTTGCTTTCTGGAAAATATCATTTGTGTGGTTCTCTATGTGACATTCTCGAAAGAAGAAGACAAACAAGAAGACTATTTCCTTATCCTGTGCATTATGTCAATCGTTCCATTCATTGTGGGTGTATTTTTCATGGTACTCTACTATTTATGGTTTCACCCAAATCTGGTGAGCCGTCGCATATACCACGATGAAGAAAGAGAAAAAGAAATGCAGATATTTTCATCGTCAGCTGATCCAGCCGCACCAGTATCGACAGCATAGTCTCACGTGCATTGGAGCCGGAGCATCCAACAGAAGACACATGTCTTGTATTGACATCATCATCATTCATATTCTGTATTATTCGACAGTATTTTTGATAGGAAAACTAATTGTAACGAACGAACAAACTTCTTGAAATGAAATAAAGACCATAGTACAAATGTCTGATATTTTTTGAATTCTTTGGTTACAAGTGAATTGAAGCCACTTATTCGGCAAGAATGGAAGATTAAACAAATTTATTACACCGTTTTTAAGGTGGTGATCATAACCTACAGTATTTCAAATGCAATTGATGTAATTTACTATGACAAATTCATTCAATAAGATTTCTCTATAAAAAGGATTGCAATTTGAGAGAATTTACAAAGACAAGGAGTTCATTTATAATTATTTACTGTTTTTATCCGGGCCGGTTTAGTTTTCTATGTACGTATAGATGACGATCAAACAAGCTCATCTTACCTGCTCAACGATATGCGTCATCCAGCCATTGCTTAATCACTTGTCTCTACAATTCATTTTATGCTACTACTGCTTGTCATTTTTGTGAGTGCATTGTCCTTTGTGTTCAGTTTTTTTTTCAAGTCATTAGTGAGAATAGTAACTACATTTGCTGTATGATTGTTGTGTACATTCTGCCCATCGTAAGAAATCCAGTGAAATTAATTGAAATTTAAATTGAGTTCAATTTTAGAAAAATGGATGGAAAAAAAAACGTGTAAAGCAAGCGCGTGCTTTATTACGGCTTACTAAGAAAGAAGCGAATCGTGCAGGGCGAGAAGCAGGGACGCTGGTGAACTTGTTTTATGAAAGTTTCAACAAAGAGCTACCGTATCCACTAACTGAGATTCCATTACAACCACATGGAGATTATCACATACCATTTAAAACGGCTAAATGGCAAGAATGGGTATGCAAATTTCCATCCTCGCCTAATACCATAGATTTTACATGTAAAATAACAACAAGAAACGACAAAAGTGACCTCTCGTAGCGGCACAGTTGAAACTAACGAAACAAACATAATTGAACATGTCATTTTCATGTTCAGTGTTGGTTCTGTTGTTTGCCGTATAGCCGGAGAGAGATGTTGCTTAGTGGCATTGAATGACATTCAACACTCATGCAAATCTCATATTTTTTTACATCTAAGTAGAATATAACTTGAAT